GGGGTAGTATGAAGATGAGAGAGAGGTGGGGGGGGGAATAGAAGAAAAAAAGAAAAAGTTGGTTAGTCAACGGGCTGACACGTATGCAGTTGTGGCAATGCCTAAAGTTTAGAGGCGTTCACATAGGCTTGTATAGTCCTCAAAAAGCGCTAGACGGCATTGACTGTTTTTTGAGCTGACGAAGGATGAGGAAGGTGGTCCAGGAGCATCTCCACAGATAGTGGACGATCATCCAATTGTCGGAATGCGTCGGAAATATTCTGTCTCTCAGAGTTTAGGAAAAGACGTGCGACCATCACTGTTCACCCATCGGCCAGTTTCCTGAAGGAATGCACCGAATGCATGGGATGTGCCATGGAAAATTTCCCGAACTGTAAGCGGCCGTCAAGAAACATCAAGCTGATTACCATATGAAATAAGCGCAACAGGCATGAAAGCCTAACTCACGCAGCGTGACATGAATTCAGATATAGACGTGCACTGACACCAAAGCGTGCCATTACGAATGCCCATAGTGTGAATGCAGTCGTTAACTACGCCTTGGCAGAACCGATGACAGAGATACCTTCGAGCACCATAGCAGCGTATCACTGAGAAGGCAGCGCGACGTATCACCTAGAAATTTCAGGTCCTCCTATACTGATACTACAATGAATTACTGCAGCGGGGCTGTGCGATGACAAACGTGAATCACAATGACGTTGTGGAGTTTTCTGGAACTTCTTGTGGAGCCGTCTATGCGGTTCCACAGCTTCCTGGAGCAGGAGTGGCTTGAAGTTCCGATAAGAGGAGAAAGGCGAGTCGTGTCGGCAGACCTGATACGACAAGCAGGCATTTCGGCAAGTCCACACACTGTTGTACAAGCTGTAGAAATTAATATACTGACAAAGTGTTAATGAATTGGAAACTAGGTCTACGACAAAGTAGGGTGAAAGTACAAGAAACAAAAATGTCACGTCGATTACTCCCCAGCGCGTATTTGCATGCAGTACGGATAGTAAGAATTGAGTGTACTAACACAGAGCCGACGTATAGAGCAAATCAGGAATATTAGGATCATTCACGTACCAGAACACCACTGACCATGGAAAAGACTACTACAAAAGGTCCGTAAAATGTAAACAGTCCAGGTGCAGAAAAGTCTATTGTGGTGCCCCGTAGCAAAAGGCTGCAGGGTTGAAAGGACAAGTGGGCGTACTAATATTTCTGCCAACAGAAATAGTAGCCGTAGGAAGAACTCAATGTACTTACCCGCAGTCGACGTGAAACAGAGTTTGGATGGCAGATATCATGGAGTACTTACGTAGATGCGGCGAGGTTCAATTGCACACAGTCAGCCACGAGACTACAATGCGCTTAACCACCTGACATAGCCGACTGAAGGAATATAGCTAGTGTGCGCCAGATGTGCAGACACAGGTCGTGAACTTGAAACAGCAAGGGAACCCTTCGCTAAACGTCTCAAGATATCGAAAGGTACGCACACACAATGGTAACCGCTTTCGTAACCATGGGCCTAACCGAGATTGGCTTCACCTCGAGCGACGAAAATACAGCAATTCACGAAACGAGCAATATATGGCCCTGGGGAGTGTAATAAAATGAAATGAAATGAAACGAAATATGGAAGGAGCTAGCCAACAAGAACGAAATGAAAAAAAAAGTGGACACATACTTTAGCAACAACGCACCGCGTGACTATAATTGAAGGCACATCCATTCTTCATAGTCGACCTGCAAATGCGCCTAATATTCAAGCTGTCGCTTCCTTCCTGCTCGGGTATTATGGTCGGTAAGCAATGACGTGTGGAACGCTGGCCCATGTCCATGTCGTAAGCTGAAAAGAAGCACTGCCAGCTAACATCTAGCCTAGTGTTCGCTAACACATACCAAATGCTCGTTAAACTTCAATATATCCATTCCACCAAGTCCACTCCTCTTTCGCCATCGAGACGAGTTGTTGCCGTCACAGCCATGTATAGCGCCCATCGCGCCTGATTGATTGGAGCCCTTAGTTTCACGTGCTTTGTCGCTGTCCACAATATTAAATTCGACAAATGACCCGCCACGGTGGTTGGCTAAGGCACTCGGCTGCACAATTTCGGATGCACAATGAAGCCCAGGTGGTCGAAATTTCCGGAGCCCTCCACTACGGCGTCTCTCGTGATCGTATGTTTTTTTGGGGACGATAAACCCCAACAATTATTATTATTATTATTATTATTATTATTATTATTATTATTATTATTATTATTATTATTATTATTATTATTATTATTATTATTATTATTATTATTATTATTATTATTGGATTCAACGAATGTTCACGGCCATGCCACGCTATGTGTATTATATGGCCAGCTAAGTTGCATCCTTGAAAAAGGTAAGCCCACTTTTCAAAACATTGGCTCCGGCGACACCTCCGCGTCAGGAATTTTTCACCTGTTTGCGAAGAATTGAGCGTTTTGAGTCGGTACAAGTTTGTTCCAAAGGCGTTTGAAGAGTTCTTGTCCCGACCCCTTTTGCACTGCAAGGCCAACAAACACCGAACTGTTGTCAGTGTCCGTCATACTTTTTTTTTTCATACGTTTGCGGGGAGCAATGCGAGATTTCGTATATATAATATATGCAGTAAGACTAGGGAAATGTTTCAAATGCGGCTAGGATAACTGTAAGGAGACAAGAACTCACGTGCCATAACTGCACTGGTCGAGACCATAGCTTGAAAATCTGACACAAACCTTCGAAGCCTGCTCCTTTCAGCCCGATAATATACTTCGTTAGGCACGTTGGTTCATTCTCGGATAGATTTGAGCCTGAATAGACAACTCACAAGAAGAGACGACTACTCGAGCGCTTACGCGAGAGCTCGTGTAGTCTTCTGTTCTTTTGTGTTGTTCGTTTGCGCTCAGATCCATTCTTTGCAACTATATAAGGCGGTGTGAGCTGTGGTCGCGGAGATGCACATGTTCGGTCTACCTGGGCCGCGATACAGTCAGGTTTAAATGCCATGTTGAAGCTAGTGGCCGCTTCTTATGTAAACAATGAGCCCAGCTGTTCCAACATGGGCTTCTGCGCCCAGGCGTCTTTCCTTCGTACGCAGTAATCGCGAGTCATATATCACTGGATCGTCGCTGTTGTAGAGATGGAGAACTTGGCCATGTAGTGGTGTTGTTAAAACAATTCTTGAAAAATTAGAAACGAGAGTAAAATTGTTGTTCCGTATGGTTTGTACCGGCAGATGCATTTATTACGACGGTGGAAGCATTTCTTTTCTCGTGTTTGTTCTTTTGTCACATATATAGGAGTGACGCAGACCAATATTGGATTACTATATTGTGCTGTTGCGTATACGGTTTATTTATTGTAGGCTTATTCCAGGTCGTCTCAAAATTAATCGCGTCATGAATAGTCACTACTTCAGCCAAGAATAATGTCAGCCTAACTGTGAAGTGAACAGGTGCACAAAGTACACCGGCCATTGTCGTGACCGAAGTCTAGAGGCTTGTTTAACGTAATATTTACTGCGGTTTACTGCCTCAAAACAGCATTATATTTATGAGTAATGCCGTACGTGGAGAGCTCAGGATATTTTGACCGCATTAACATGCACAGCAATGTAAGCCTAAAGCATTTTCATCCTCCATCGAAAATGCGGCCATCGAGGCCTTGATTCGGCCTTTCGCGCCAGCATTCTAGCACCATGGCCATTAGCCAACCGTGCAGGTAGAAATTAGTTTACGTAAGGTTCACTAGTACATCGTAATTCAAGTGTAGAACAAAATGCAGCTGAATTAGGTCTCTGCTATGCGGCTCTGGAAGGTGAAAGAGGGGAATGCGACGGCACCACTGCCTTAAATATTTTTGCAACATGTGTCATGCCCGTCAACTGCTGTACGACGTTTTCTCAATGGACCTGCTTACCCACTTCTGAGGGTTGTGCCCCTAGTAATCATCATCAGTGGCGCGACCAGGTTACGTGAATCTCCATGATGTAATGGCGCTCGACGATCACCCTGAAACTCGATTAGAAACGTGCATAATACTGAATACTAGAAGGTACTATATAATCTGGGCATGTGGGTATAGTTCACATAGATACTACCAAGACAAATGCCTCGAAGAGGAGGGGTGGTGTACATACAGGTATTGGCACACGTGGATTCACGTTCGCGCGCCTTTTCAACTGAAGCAAGGTGCAGTATGATCAACTAATTCTTTTCACGCCTTGCTGTATAGGTGAAGCAGAAAGTGAATCTGAATTTCACTGGTACATGCAGGCTTATATAAGGACGATTCAAGCAGAGACCCAAATGACGACGTGAACGGCTTGCTCGAAGACCACTGCGATCACCGGAACTCGCGGGGGCGCCTGGGGCTTTCACGGACGGTCACACTGACAGCACAGCGCAGCGTATACGTTTATCGAGGGCACACTATTCTGCAAGACGCGGCCGGAGAGACCGACGGAAAACTTTATCGAACGCCCATGAAGCCCGTGTCGTATGTGCGCGCGGGCGGCGTTGGCGACGGCGGGAAGGTTATCTCACCGATCTCCCAAAGCCAAAGATACAAAAGATGACGTCGGCGTGCGTGTAACGCTCGTAACAAGCCGCAACAGCAGGAACCCACTCGCCCGGGGTGTGCGTCTAGGTCGCGGCTTCCGGATAGAAAAGCAAAGCCCCCGCGGCTGTGGCACGCGCAGAAGGCCTTCTTCTCTAAGCATGGCTTCGAGCTTATTGCGGACCGTACGCCCTCTTTTTCGCCATTCCTTCTCGGCCGGGCTACTGTTTACCATCTCGCTAAGTGGTGGAGAGAAGGACAGATGGGCGAGGGCTAGACAATAGGAAAACATAAACACTAAGCGCAATCCTCGCTGTTGCAGTTGTTGTGGTTGCAAGCCACCCAGCCCTCTTCCACGGCCAGCTTGGCCGAGGAACGAATCGAAAGGCGACAGTGCATGGCGGGGCGCTTGCGTCGTCGCTGGCGTCGATATATAATCAGATGACGGCTCCATGGCCGATGCTCAGTTGGAGATTCCTCCGAGTCAGTCTATGGTCACCCCTCCCGCGTGACACGGCATTGCCCGCGCTGAGAACCCAGTGGTGAAGAGCGTCTGGGGTAGCTGGAACGCGATTTGGACTCTCTAGGGAGCTTTCAGAAAACTGCTGCAAATATTTCGCTCTCTTTCGGGTGGACTCATCTATTGCAATGTGAGTGTAATTTCACTTTATTTTTTTAGGCGATGGCAACCTCGCCGCAAATGGGGAAGATGAGCATAAGACGAAAGGACGTGACGCAGAGGTGAGAGTGGAAGTTGATGCACCAATTTGCTGTGCAGGAAACAAATATATTCGTCTGGGGAAGGATATATCTATATTCCTGACGATAATGTCTATGCGCAAGCGTTTTTACTTCCTGCATCTCGAGAGAACGTCAAAAAAGGGCAGAAGGCGCAGCTGTAGACATCCGTGGGATCCTGTCGTAAACCTCTTATTCGCTAATCACGGGCATGGATTTAAGTTTTGTTTCTGTGGAGTGCCATTTACAGCTTCTTGAGAACCAGGGGCCGTATTCACAATCATAATGCTAAACATATCCTTAATGAAACTTGCTGGTCAATCGCAAAGAGGAAAAAAAAAAAGACTTACGAACGGGATTGGTGCATTCGGTCCCAATTTCCTCTTTTGAAATACTTAAACTTCAGAGGCCATAACCGGAATTTTCGAATGGCGATGAGTAGAAAGGAACAAAGCGAAAATTCTCAACGTTTCTACATGTATTCTCGCTGGGTCATACAAAGGCTCCAAGTGTGCCAATGAACGCACCCGTGAATTTCGTAAATAATCTATGAGCTCGCGTTTCCATGCATAAGCGTTTTGACACAAGCGGCAGTCTACGCATTCATGCATCAGCGTCCTACATATGAACGGACGGTCGTCAATGACCGGATGCCCATTTTCAGAAGGAACAGCTGCGGCTGCTTATGGCGCAACGCGGGCTACGTCACAGTTGCAATATTTAGTGTAGTAATTAAAGCCTTAATATAGGCGGAGACATAATGTCGGTTGCATCATGCATCGGGAACCTAGCGCACGTAATTATTCTGCGACTACCGGCGATCAACTTGTAGAACCGGGACGGATCTGCGGTGCGATATACTCTAATCCGAGCTGGCGCCACTGAAGTAGCGGCTGAAGTGTCTGGTGCGAGCAGGCATGGTACGCGGCGGCGGCTGGCCAAGGATTTCCGCTTCTCGGCGCAAGGCAATCGAGAAAGTAAAGAAAGCAACGTACTGCCCTAACCGCGCGAGAATAGGCGATAATTTGGCTGATTCGGCGTTGCCTCTGCTTGGGGAGACCCCGGCCTTCGTGTTACGAAATCGTGCGTTAGGCTTTACCACAAAAGAGCCCGGTGAAAACACTGACGAGACCTCTCTTTTCTTTCTTTCTTTCTTTCTTTCTTTCTCTCTCTCTTTTTTGAGGGAAATGTTTAAGGGGGAGGTGGACTGATGTTAGTCGAGCTTATAGATAACAAAGAGGCCTTATGAGGCCATAAAATCAACATAAAGGAGCAAGGAAACAAAATATTTCTTAAAACTGGCATTACATGAAAGCGAAAGCAAAAAATTGCTACTGTATAGCATATTATCACGGCCGAAAAAAAAGTCGTTAGGTAGGGCGCATGTTTTATGGGATTACTGCCGTACTACGCCATTTTCATTTTCAGCCTTTTTCTCTAAAGAACTACCTGCGTTTAAGCTTGTCACTGCCAAACCGATGAACACCTTTAATGATTGTGTTTTCCAGTATTTTTCTTATCAGGTATAGTTTCGATTTGTAAATCTGTCGTACCAAGCGCAACAGACGTTAAACATGCGCTTCGATACCATCACATAGGAGTCCTCCCCGCACAGAAATCCAGATTTCCCTCATATTTCTCCTTCTCTCTCTTTTGCATGACCTACCATGGTAATTCAGTGGTCACGGTACTCGACAGCTGATCTGAAAGTATCTCGGCCGCGGTAGCTGCATGTAGACGACCCGTGTACTCAGATTTAGGTGCTCGTTAGAGAGCACCAGGTGGTAGAAATTCCCAGAACACTTCATTATGGCGTCACTCATAATGATACCATGCTTTTGGGACGTAAAAGCCCCAACAAATATTGTTACTTATCTGCATGTAAGTTTTGACATCCTGTCCAACCATCTGCGAAGCCACCCTTGACTTTATGTGATGTAATTAATCTCTGCTGTTCTGTTAATATTTCATGTATTTCCTGTGTTTCTTTTTTAAGTACCTATCTCAGTCATACGTAATTCTCCTTGCTTTAGTGTATCGTGTTTCTGTATACCCGTGCAACATGTTATGTTGTTTTAGGCACCGCAATAAGCATTTCAACTCAGCATAGGCGAAACAGACGGTAGGGGGGAAAGGGGGGAATGTTTATTATTCATCACGGCACATCAGATCTGACGCAACATTTTTTCTTATTTAATTTTGTCTCTGTCTGTCTTTATGTGTTCATTTCATACGTAGTTCTATGGCACGCTTCCGTAAGCTATTGGAATAGCAGAACTTCAGAAAAGTGGCTTGTTGAGCAAGTTGGATTCAGCATCACAGTAGAATTGAGCTTAATGTATTCTTTTTTTGATCCCTGTTTTTTTTCTCTCGCTATAATATACTATGATGGATTAGGAGAATAGGCATGCACAAACAACGGAAGCCGGTCATCCCCGCCCTGAAATCCACATTACAACGTCGCACCTATTGGCCCGTCGTTATGTGGACAGCGCTCACACCCATTTCGTGTCGTCGACAAGCCAGTCGGTTTCTCTTTCCGAGTGGGGCGCCATATCGAGGCCGAGGGCGGGCAGCCGCGTTGCGCACGTGTTCTGCTTACTCGAAGTGCTCTCATTTCGCCAGTCCGATGGAAGGCGAAGTGCGCTGCCGCGCACTGCTGAGAGGAAACGCTGAAAGAGGGAGCAGTTCAACTGCGTTCCATTGCTTGTCTTTTATTTTTTATTATTATCACCAGTGCAAGAATTTTGATGCCACCATTGCTGGAAGAATCATGTAGCAATCCATGGACTCACTGACTGTTTAGGCACGCAGGTTGTAAAAAGGATGAGAGAGATATGAGAGAGAGAGAGAGAGAGAGAGAGAACTTTATTTGCGCATAACGCGGAGCATTCCAAATGGTCGAGCCCCTATTCCAGGGCTCCACTGGCCCTAGCCATCATCTCTACCCGCTGGACCAGCCAGCGCTGATCAGCAATGGCCGAGCTGGACAGCGGAGCCTCCGATTGTTCCTCCGTGTTGCTCATGTTGTGGTGTTCTTCATTGTGATGTCTACACTCCCACGTGATGCGAAACAGAGTTGGTGTGGCCCCACACCACGGACATAATGGTATGCTGTGGGGTAGAATACATGTAGCCTGTGTAAGTTAACACTATCACTCATTTATATGCGACTGCATAAGTAGACACCGCAAGCCATACGCTATAGTGAAGATTATCTGAATTACCCCCCTTGCAGAGTGCCACCTAATTACACTGGTATCTCTCTTTGAAGACACACGTAAGCTTTCTTTTGGAGACCATTATACTTTCCCACGACGGTCGTGATTATCTGAAAGTGATTTGATGTGACTAGGCAGCCCTCAACAAAATGAGTAATTGATATAACTTTACCTTTTTTTTGGCGGTAGGAAAACGAAAGCCTTGCATTAATTTGTGCTCCGGTTGAAGAACAAGTGAACGCAAGAGCCTGGAACCAAAACGGCTTGGAGACTCCAGTACCAGTATTTTCTAATAGATCAGTGCTGCTGCGAAATCAGGAAGGCGAGTTTTATTGTTAAATTAGCCATTTCATAAGGCCGAAAACATGTGGCAACGTTGCTCTCGAAATGTTTGCATTTTTTCGCTCTTAGATCTTGAGTTTCAACTGGTGTCTATTGGTGGTTCGGCCCACTGAATGTTTCTCGTGGGGACCATAAATTGATTGATATGTGGGGTTTAACGTCCCAAAACCACCTTGATTATGAGAGACGCCGTAGTGGAGGGCTCCGGAAATTTCGACCACCTGGGGTTTTTTAACGTGAGCCCAAATCTGAGCACACGGGCCTACAGCATTTTCGCCTCCATCGAAATTGGGTAACCATGAAGTTACTTAGAAAGTTTTCATGAAGAATTACTGCAACTCCAATGGCTAATGTATTGAAGCTACTTCAAAGTCTGTTATGAAACGGTGATTATATTGGGTCTGGCGTGAACTAAAAGAAAACAAAAAATGAAGTTTGGTCCAGGCTTTCTTTTCTTGTAGTAACCAGTCTCACGCGATGAAGTTGCCGAAAAAAAGTTTTCAGAAGTAGGACGTTCTTGTACCCCTACTGAAATCCTTAATGAAGGACTCGTTGTCTATACTTTCAGTACAGCACTCTTGTAGGCAATCGCACAGGTTCACCTTATGTTTTAAGCCCTGGTTTTTTAGGCTTATAGCCAATAGGTTTCTAATTATTGAAGCTGCATTATTGCAGCTTTTATTTACTTATTCGTTGTTAGATTAAAAATTAAATTGAGCTGAATATAACTGCTATTCAGCATCAACCAAAAGCAAACGCACACAGATAGTATGGTCAATATCACACTAGCGAACGTATATCGTTCTATAGGGGTTTAGCAAAAAGGGTGGGTTATGACGCACTCCGTGTACACATACAGTGAAAGGATGGGAAGGGTGTTTTGAGTAATTGTCTAAGTCATTGCTCGGTCAGCGCTTATTTTTTGTTCGATATTTATATCCACCCATATCTCAGCTAACTAACAATCTGTGTTTGTCGCTGTAGATTTTGGCAAAACACGCGGCAGCCGCAATCGGGTAATCGCACCCTGACCTTGTACAGAGCAGAAGAGCATATAACACGGTAGTCACTAAATGACTACTCATATATATTAGATATTTGTATTGTTATAACAAATACTGCTTGAAAAGGCTGTACGGTTGTAGCGTAAAGACCACTTATTATTTGCCTAAGCGTGACCCGTCGTATAGGCTGAGGTGAAGCACCCACGCGCCCCGCAATTAAGGCTCGGAAAATTGAGTGGCATCACAGTTAAGAGCGTTGCCAATGTGCTTCAGTATTTTTCCAGGAGCCCAGCGGAAGGTAGAGCGCATATAGATAGCGTCATCGACATGGGCGCCTCGTGTGATGAGGTGGTACGCTGCGGAAAATAACTCGGGACTAAATAAAGAAAAAGCAAGCATAAAGGCCGCGCATTTAACGCCGCAAGCGAATCTCTGTATACGTGTCCTGTCCCATGGTCGGCGTATCAGCGCTTTGTTTGGGCCTTGTTGACTCACGTTTGCCGTTTTTGTCCCCGGTCCTGAATGGGCTTTCCTCAGCCGTCCTTGAAGCGTTAATTCACGGTTAGCCTGGAGCAAATCAGTTGTTATCGTTCCTACTTGACAGCTGCACATTTCGCAATGTCAAGACTATAGACTTTAGAAGTGTCCCGTAGCGGCCTCTCCCTCAAGGAGCATTGTTCTGTGCAGAAAGATATGTGGTTCAGATGGCGCATCCGACGGCATTTGTTCTGCTTAGTATCAGTTTCGTTTTCACCCTAAACGCCTGCAGTTGAATGGCCTACTCGGTGTCGTCATTGCAGGAGTCTCACTTACTGAAAGCTATTCTCCAAGATTTACTGCAACTCCAATGGCTAATGTATTGAAGCTACTTCAAAGTCTGTTATGAAACGGTGATTATATTGGGTCTGGCGTGAACTAAAAGAAAACAAAAAATGAAGTTTGGTCCAGGCTTTCTTTTCTTGTAGTAACCAGTCTCACGCGATGAAGTTGCCGAAAAAAAGTTTTCAGAAGTAGGACGTTCTTGTACCCCTACTGAAATCTTAATGAAGGACTCGTTGTCTATACTTTCAGTACAGCACTCTTGTAGGCAATCGCACAGGTTCACCTTATGTTTTAAGCCCTGGTTTTTTAGGCTTATAGCCAATAGGTTTCTAATTATTGAAGCTGCATTATTGCAGCTTTTATTTACTTATTCGTTGTTAGATTAAAAATTAAATTGAGCTGAATATAACTGCTATTCAGCATCAACCAAAAGCAAACGCACACAGATAGTATGGTCAATATCACACTAGCGAACGTATATCGTTCTATAGGGGTTTAGCAAAAAGGGTGGGTTATGACGCACTCCGTGTACACATACAGTGAAAGGATGGGAAGGGTGTTTTGAGTAATTGTCTACGTTATTGTTCGGTCAGCGCATTTTTTGTTCGATATTTATATCCACCCATATCTCAGCTAACTAACAATCTGTGTTTATTGCTGTAGATTTTGGAAAAACACGCGGCAGCCGCAATCGGGTAATCGCACCCTGACCTTGTACAGAGCAGAAGAGCATATAACATGGTAGTCACTAAATGACTACTCATGTATATTAGATATTTGTATTGTTATAACAAATACTGCTTGAAGAGGCCGTACGGCTGTAGCGTAAACACCACTTATTATTTGCCTAAACGTGACCCGTCCTAAGCTGAGGTGAAGCGCACACGCACCCCGCAATTAAGGTTCGGAAAATTGAGTGGTATCACAGTTAAGAGCGTTGCCAATGCGCTTCAGTATTTTTCCAGGAGCCCAGTGGAAGGTAGAGCGCATATAGATAGCGTCATCAACATGGGCGCCTCGTGTGATGCGGTGGTACGCTGCGGAAAATAACTCAGGACTAAATAAAGAAAAAGCAAGCATAAAGGTCGCGCATTCAACGCCGTAAGCGAATGTCTGTATACGTGTCCTGTCCCATGGTCGGCGTAGCAGCGCTTTGTTTGGGCCTTGTTGACTCACGTTTGCCGTTTTTGTCCCTGGTCCTGAATGGGCTTTCCTCAGCCATCCTTGAAGCGTTAATTCACGGTTAGCCTGGAGCAAATCAGTTGTTATTGTTCCTACTTGAAAGCTGCACATTTCGCAATGTCAAGACTATAGACTTTGGAAGTGTCCTGTAGCGGCCTCTCCCTCAAGGAGCATTGTTTTGTGCAGAAAGATATGTGGTTCAGATGGCGCATCCGACGGCATTTGTTCTGCTTGGTATCAGTGTCGTTTTCAGCCTCTTTTTTTTTTTCGTTTTCAATGACGACACCGAGTAGGCCATTCAACCAAACGCCTGCAGTTGAATGGCCTACTCGGTGTCGTCATTGCAGGAGTCTCACATACTGAAAGCTATTCTCCCAGATTTTGCGTCATCTGGTTGATGTAGGTAGTCATATTGTTTTGTGTTTTTGTACATGCCTGAAACCACGATATAATTGTGAGAGACATCGATATAGTAGAGGTCTCCGGAAATTTTGACCTTGGTGTCCTTTAACCTGCACCCTAATCGCTGTTATACACAGGCATTGCATTTGGCCTCCGTAGAAATGCGGCCGTCCAGGCCACGATTCTATCCCGCGACCTTCAGGTCATTAGTCAAGCAACCCAACCACAATATCACAAAGGTGCGCACAAAGGAGAAAAATGGATAAAAAATATAAAGATAAGTATAAAACAAAAGCCACGATGTCAGCGTTGTTTTACATCAGAAATCGCAGAATTATTTAATTCTTTACATCAGTGCTCTTAGCCATTTAATTTTGCCTTCCGCTTGAAAAAGAAAGTATATATGCACAGCAAATGTGTTGTATACTTCGCTACTTAAACTATAATGAATAATGTTTTAGGCACAACCCAAAGGTGAAAAAAGGGGTAAAAAAGTGTGTGTTCAAAGTGATTTTTCTTCATTTTATTGTTTCAATTTCTTGTGCCTATCATAGACACCACTGGAGCCAATGGCGTGGAAGCCGCAGCTGAATTGGGCTTGCGTGACCCTCGCGGTTGCACACCTGGTGGCGGCACGTATCAGCACGCGCCTTCCTGAGGCTACAATGATATGCATCGAGTAAGTTGCCGTTGCGTGTCCACGCTCAGGGAATGGAAAAAATATATTGTGCAGATCTGCTTAAAGGGGTATCTACAATTAGAATTTACAATTGCCAAGGTTATCTAGAGTTTAACAATCATTCCATATATTCAAATGACCGCGCCATATAACCAAATTAACGGTCATTGGCTGACTTAAAAATCGTGGTTCTGCATAGTTACTGCATCCGCCGCGGGAGACCGCCACTTGCTCGCATGATCGCTTGCACTCTCACAGAAGGTAAGCCGTGTGTTCGAAAAAAAAAGAGAGAGAGAGAAGTGCTCAAGGGCATGACAGGTTCGTGACGTGACTTCTTTCCTTCGGGCAATCCCTCCCTGTTCATGGCTGCGTTTTCCTCCCCTCCCTTCACCGACCCATTAGACCTAAGCGCGAAGCAAACAATGTGCCCCTTCTTACGTGACTATCGCCGGATACAACATAATACCCCTGCCACATGGGGTAACATAAGTGCCCTTTGAAGGAGTGAACTACACTGCTAGGTGTGCATTCGCACGTTATCACACGGGAACGCTTAGTGACTTTCGGTACAAAGTGAAGTTTCAGGTGAGTGCGTTCACAGAACCCGCTACACTACGATCACGGAGAGCTGCGACAGATTGTCTAGCAATGGTAGCGGTGGCTCGGTAACAAATAAGGGGCTGGAAGTAGAGTTTATAGCATCGTCTAAACTATCATTCTTGTTATTAGGAATGTTCTGATGCATTAAATCATACTACGCCATAAAACTACTCCATTATCCTCACTTTCAGGCAATCCACAGCCACGACCATCAGGGGCATGCCCAACACGCGCCGTGCAATGGCTGCAGCCGTCGCGCTTGAACGTAAAGTTTACATTAAGGGCTGCCGATAGCTTTACCACAATATTAGTTAAGACAAATTATGTAAAATAACCAATAGCTCGTCTGCTAATAAACTACCCATCACCACTGCCATCATTTCGAAAGTATACTTCCTTCTCTTGTATAGGTACGTGCCCTCAAAGTGACATTCTCGGGCGTAAGTGCACTCGCTCTAAATGACACCAAATTTTCCAGTGTGACCAGGGTATGTCAGATGCAATTCTTCCACAAAAGCGGATGCACACATGCCTGCACCAATGGGCGCGCAATCCAGGCTTACATCAAGAGCTGGACAGTCGGGGACTCCGCCTTCGGAGAGCACTGCTAATTGCATGCGCAGGACTATCTCTTCAGACGCAGGAGAGCTATGAACTGCCGCTCTTCGCTCGTCCGCAAGAGGGCCTCTCGGGCCCTTTTAAGTTGTATCCGACTAAAGAGTTGGGAGGAACCCCCTGACCCCTCCCCCCAAGTGCGCACGACTGTATGTGCAAAAAATTGCCCCCCCCCCTCCCCCATTCCCTATAAAGATCTCTGCACATACCTATGCGTACGCACGAGCTAAATCTGTAAACTTTCCAGCACTTCCTGCTTCATAGAACATCAATGCAGTTCGTTTTCTACACATTCCTCAAAGCCATGGGTTCAGTGTCATGAGGCCCTCGCCTTTACCTCGAGACTTATCCCTGTCTCTCCTCAAAGAGCATGAGTTGGCTTACTTTCGAGTCTGCGCGAAAAGGAGTTTTTTAATGCACCCCTTCTGCACGCAGGAACTGCGGCCAGTGCAAAATATGTACGGCGAGTACTTCAATGGCCGCGAGTGTGCCGAGGAGTGCGTAAGCACCGTGGGCTACATCCAGCCGGACTGCGACATTGCTGACACCATAGTGAAGTACCTACGCCGGAAGCCATGAAACTGCCGGCGCTTCTTCCGACTGCCGAAGCTGGAAACGAAGCTATGAGAAGCAAAGCTGCCAAGGTGTTCTATCCGACACACGTATGCTTGCCCCAGCGAGGATATACATGCGTATATTGTAGAAAGTTCTGTATTCTCATTTTCGTCACGTTGCAGAGGAGACGGGGTTTCTAATGATTGTCTTGAAGTCACTTAGAAGCCATTCATACAATTTGATTCGCTACACATTATGAACGTGGTGTCTCTGCCAATTAAGGTAGGATGACTTGTATTAGGATGACTTTTTTTTCAACAAAGGCGAAGTGTAGGCGTGGACCTAATGGTAATTAACTGTCACTTGCTGAAGTACTTTGAGGCAAAAAGGCAGCCGTTCTCAGCTTCCTTAAAGGAAAAAAAAGAAATACTCAAGAGCACATAGTTTCGGAATGTCGCAGTATCCGCCGGACGAGAAACGATGCACTTGATTTTTTTTAATGACGCCTAAGTAAATTGTTAACCATAGCCTCCAAAATGTTGTCGGTAACGAGCAGAAGCACATTGAGCAGCAAAATCATGCGACAGGTTGGCGCGGTCGCCACACCATATTGAATTTGATGCGCAACAGTATATAGCGCAGTAGGTGAGATTCAGTAATGCATGCATCAGCGAGGACATTGCATTGCACTTCAGCAGAAAAGAACACCTGTCTGAGTCAAGTTGTCTGCTATCATGTAAGAAAGGTCTTTTGCAATGGGTACCGAGAAGCTATAGATCAAAACTGGCCTAATTGTGCACCAACTCGGTACATTTTCTCGGTCATATTTTGGACAGCCTTCTTCCACTCAGTAGACATGCTATTTTTCTATTACAATGTCATTTACAGTAGTACCACGTGTATTTGCAGGAGTGCCCCGCGGAGTTGCAGTGAAAAAATTTGTGCTGAAATTTACAATTACGGTTTCAGAAAAGCCACTTATGTGACGTAAATTATTCGTGGTTTCACTGGATCTCGTTTTGTTTCTCAGCGTGCCATGATAAAAAAAATTTGTGCAAGATCCCACGTGCTTGCTTCTCTAATTGCGCTTGTGCTGTGAATGTTACGGGCTTTGCATTGCTATGAGCTTCACAACTTACCTCTTTCCTAATGCTCGTATTTGAAGTATGCGGTCGTTACTTGATTCAGGTAACACTACATAGAGATCTCATATTGAAGCGTTAGTGATAAGAATAAAAAAGAATTATGGACAAACTCTTATAAGTGATCAGTATAATAATGCTTTTTTTTGTTCTGATGGTTCAGTTCTATATCATATTTGTGAGTGGAATGATTGCTGACGCGTGCACATGATTCTAGTCACTTCAATTTTTTGTGCGTTTAGTACTTCATTAAACTGTGATATAATTCGTTCGCGCCAGCACTTATCGTGTTATTTTTTCGCAAATGTGTCTGAAACTCTCATTTAATGTCCACATTATTACAAGAGCATTTTGCATAGAGCGAACGAACAATCTGCCCATATTCAGCTGGCAGCACTGGCTCGCACTATAACACTGCTTCATTATTGGTGTGTTGCTATAAGTGAACTTCTAAATGCATGTTCATTGTGATACAAGCTTGACTAATAAGTGAAATAACAGTATATCGTGATGTGATTTCGTAACAACATCTTACACTTTGTTACTCTGTTTACTGTGACTAGTTAATAGATCAAAGGAAACAAAATTTTCAATCCGTGGGCCTGAATATAAAACTCTGATTGTGTTTCGTTATTTAACACTTCTGAAGTCGTTGTTAAGGATTTTTGCATGTATACTGTTTGTATTGTGTTATCAATAAAAACGTAATGACGAAAAATATACTGAGGTGTATCTAATTCACTTGAGTTGACTTACAGACCTTCGCACTCCTTAGAAGAATGCTCAAAGCGGTCATGAACAACCCCTCGGGCTCGGTGGGCAAATGTATTGCGTATATAGAAGACCCTGTGATAAACATCTCGAGCCAAATCTTTCAATATGCGTGCGCGGTAAAGCGAGAACAGAAACATAGGGTGAAATCACCATTTTCTGAAGCGGCCACTTTACATACAGGAGCTGTGCCAATTAACGCTTCCCTGTGCTCACTCTCTCCGGAGATGCCGGCGCCTGTTGTTTAACTTCAGACAGCAGATAACATGTTATTGGCCAATAGTCGACATAAATCAAGAGTGGAGTTGGGATCAGCTGTGCGTCTTGCCATGGGGTGCCATCACGGGCACTATATGTATACAATATTTATAGCCCAGCAGTGAAGGCTGGGTGGGAAATTCTTCTGTGGTGTTGTTTAGAGAAAGAGCAATCCATCACGTGCAGGAAGAGCACTCCTATAACGTGTTTCACGGCCCATAGATGGCGCTATTATCTTACAACATGGTACAGAACTTGATTGTTGCGCCGAGCCGCTCTTCGGCGGTAAGCTGAAAACTCGTTACCACTCGCAATTTCGTGATAGGACGAACGTAATGTTGTCATGTGATAATATGGTCACTCTACTGACGCTCTGCAGTTCCCGTGAAGCAGACTATCAGGTATATAGGCCATTCCCACTGCCACACGTTTAGTTGGACAGGGCTCAGGCAGTCAGTCACGCTATGTTTACTGCAAACTCGGACTTACTCCACTCCGCATTTTCCAATTATATTTCACCCTGAATGTGAAATTCAAAAATAATGCATCGCATGCGATGACATCAATGGAACCAGACACATGCTGGCGGGCTGTTCCGCAACTCTCGACGACAGCAAATAAAAATGTCTTCGGTGGTAGAAAACGGAGCAAAGCACATCGTATGAAGATCTGCTGCAGCATTCCAGAAGGTCTACGATGACACCTAAGGCTCGGCCCGACAGGTACCGACATGAACCGTGGCCCTCCTCACGAAGGAGTCGTCAGTTTGAAAGGACCGGACTTGGGACAGTAGTAACGTTTTATGAAATAAATAATCAATTAAATAACTAACTGAATGGCTTTCCCGGGGTGCATTGAATGTTATTGATAATAAATGGGCTCTGACGTAGATAAGATTCCTTTCCAACAATGTAAATTTCTTACTGAAGTGCTTCCTGCTGAGAAACCGTAATGCAGAACACGCACTTAGCAAAGACTTGGCGTAACACGAATCTAGTCAATAATAAGCAGCGTAATCAAGTCGAGGGCTTGCCTAATCTGGTTCTTCTCTAATCCCCAAACGTCAAGCCTTCCCTTAGTGTCCAACTTTTGAATATATCTAACGCTATAGCGATCATTATCCCGAGCAATATCAGAAAGAGAATGTATCAGTTCCTGTGCCCGAAACCTAACGTCACGATCGTGTCAACGTCGAAGGGCGTGGTCGCGTACATCACGGATGTGAAGCAGTTGGACACATCGAATAGCGTTGGAAGAGAAGCTGCAATTACGCAAGAATGCAAGCGCGCCAAGCCTTGTCTCTCATGCGTAGGAGACCAACAGATGATCGAGGCCAGCCCATATCGAAGGCTTGATTAAAGGTATTGTACGCGTAATAACTGTTCTTCCTGCTCTGAAACTGAGGAGTGCATGGCATCTGAAAGACAACCGACACGTCCTACGAGGCGAATGGGTGTGAACATTTCTCTTGTTTTCGTTCGTCAGCCATAGGAACCGCGTACGCAGGCCGTGTCCTAGTGACGATAGAGTTGTTTTTCCCAGTCTTCTCAGCTTCGAGCATCGCCGACAAGAGCCCCAGAGATATTTAAGTAAACATCAAGTAGAGATGGTGTGCTGCCACGTAAAAAAAGTACTGCCGGAACAAATGGCCTGTTGACGATGTAAAACAAGCCAACGATGCTGTTTGTATAAGTTGTTAAGTATCCTAAATCGTCAGAACCCCTTCGCAATGCTGGTCCCTCGGGCCAAGTCATATGGAAGAACGGAATAAAACAAAATGGACGAAAAATGGAGGTTAATCAGAATTATTTCTGGTTGGCTTTCTTATGCTGGGGTATTGCGAAAGGGGAGTATAAAGATGAAAGAGAGGAAGAAAGGAAAGAAGGAAATAAACAACACTAAACGCGCTGACGTGTATGTGTGGGTTACAATATACAATGGCCAAAGGCGTTCATGCGGGTTCGTACTCGTCAAAGAGCACATGTCTAAGCTTCCTTAACTGCAAGGCTTCTTGGCCGACGAGCAAGTTCGCAGAATGCAAACGTAGACACATCATGACACACGCATTTGAGGCGGTTTGAAGCAGCGCGTCGTAAATGGTCTATATGGATAATATTCTGACGTGGTGCACCAGCTTGCGAAGGTATACAACTGTGTAACTGCCGCGATTATATGATGCACTAGCGCGTAGAGACGTTACTGATTACCGCGATCTTGCTCCTACGCAGTAGGCTTGGGAACCTTCCTTGTACAAATAATTAACTAAAGCAAAATCCTAAGTGATGCTGATGCCTAACTCCTCGATTTCCTGAGGGCCTTATTTAAAAAAAGAACTGTCTCTAAATGGAACACTGTGATGATGTTATTCGTGTGCCTCGACGAGCGCGAGAATGCGCGTATTGAGGCACCCTATATGCATGCTATCGCCGAAACCCGTAAGAATTTCTTACGTTCAACTTTCGTTTTCCCAAATTTGCTGCCTCCTCGTCACTTTGCGCCGACATACCGCAACCTGTCATTATAAATGCCTATTTTATATCATTCGTGGTGTTTTACGAACTTGTACACGAGTACTTTGTACGCTTTTAAAACCGAGGCTTCTTAGTAGATCTGGAAACTTACACGCGTCGAGATTGAAAAGCTATAGCTATCTTCCAGTCATAGTAAACGGAATGATCATTTAGCAGCAGGGAAGTGAAGGCGGTGCTTGTATTCAGGGGTCATGACGCTTCGTGTTTTATGAGCGATCATTTAGCTTTATGATTTGAACTCCAGTGAGTATGGTAACCCTTGTTATACACTATAGCTTCCCTTATCGTTGTTCAAACTTTGAATAGGTGGCACGTAGTGCAAACAACGAATAAAAAAATTGGGATAGTTTGTTTCTGCTTCCCACTTAAGCGCGCATCTGCAAAAAAAAAACTTCATGTGGTGGTCTTGTGTTAGCTCTCTTTGCTATCTCACTATCAGTTGTAAATGGCAGTCATTCGCGACAGATTTGCACCACTTACGGCCAAGTCGGCGTTCATGGAAGCGATAATTACAGGAATCAAGTGACACATTGCGGCGACTCCTTCATTTACAGGCAGTTTTACTCGGTAAATGGCACTACCCCAGCCTTTCGCTTTTTCTGTGCGCCATTCATGGAATTATCTTGC